CCAAAGAAGAAATTTTTTCTTTATTATTTTTTAAGTAAATTTCAAATCATTTTTTTTTTCCTAAATTTGTCTTTATTTATTATTTTCCCTTAATTTCTTTGTTTCTTAAACTTTCCACTGCTGGCGACTTGCCAGGATCCGATCTTGAGAAAAGTGATGTTCAAAGGGGGTGGTAACTTTATTGAAATTGAGTTATTAGTGTCATATTCTGGTTCCCGGTTGTTACGTTGTTTGTTCTATGGGTTGGGTTTAGAATTTACCATTGGTAACTGGAACTTTGAGATAACCCCCTTTTCGTAATGATTCAGTGAGGAACTATGAGCCACAAGTTATTTCCATAGAATATTTATTTTTTTTACTTTAAGTTTAAAGTTATGTGTCCCTCTTTTAAAACGATTATTAATTTTATTGTCCAGTTGAGTTTCTTTAATATTTTTTTTAAATTTTTCTTTAGTTCGTGTGAAAGCTTTAAAGGAAATGGGATTTACGGTCAAAACCCTTTATAGACATACTCCTAAATGGTTAAAGGGAAAAGGCAGAAAGATTACTCGTTTAGAAAAAGGGGAAAAACAGCTCGAAAGAGAAAAGAACAAAGAGCTAGGCTCGGGAAGATAAATGAACCGGAAAGGGTGCTAGGAAGATGGTTCAGCAAGAAATAGCTTCAAAATGAAGAAATGATTGAACAACAAGTTGGGTTGAACCAGAAGATGAACTATTAGCGAAATAGATGAAGGGTCTAGAAACCCCAAGAACCTAAATGGGAGCCACAATACCACTTTCTTTAAAAGATGACCCTAGCGGAATTTAAATTGAGGACTGTCTCTCTTATGGCCCGTATTCTGGCTTAATTTTAACTGTCAGGGTTGCAAAAGTCTATTTCCACTTCTACCTCTGATTTTAATTTAGTTTGCCACTGAGAAGTATACATCAGGTTTCAAAAAACCATCTCATTACAGTCTAAATGGGCAAATTTAAAATAACTCAATCAAAAACATGCAATTCTTAACAACACTTTTCAGATTATTTGATTCGTGGATTGAAAGTGCTGAGTTGACCACGATTTCGAATCTTTACGAGACCTGATGGTAAGAGATCAATTCCTTTCTTCTGTAAACTCTGACTTACGAATATTCATTAAAGAACGAAACGTTCATACGGCTGCTGAAATGGCACAAGCTGCTGATATATATGCGTGCGCTCATAATAACTACCCTAAAGAGCGTAGCAGATATAAGCCTGTTGTGCCTAAGCAATCTGAGGGATCCAAACCCTCCGTACCTAAGAATTCCACGGCCTTCACAGTAAAGTGTTTCAACTGTAATGAGTGGGGTCATAGAAGGCCCGACTGTCCTAGAAAAAAAGGTGAAAATGTCGGTAAATGTTTCACTGAATCAAACATATGTAGACAGCCTGTACTGGCAGAGCACACAGCCTAGCTGTCTGCTCTGACTAGTTCATATTTCGCGGCATTCAGTGCTGCCCTCTGTAGGCCTACCTAGGTCGGTGGGACACACAGTCCACCCTCTCTCACTCCCGCCTCGACCGACTTGACGTACACAGGTACTCCCCCTCCACGGACTGGCTTGCGGTCACTTCCTCACACTGCCCGTTGTGTACTCACTCCTACCCGATTAAAGCCAATCTAGTCCACGGCCGTATCATTGCTACCTACGCTACCTTCATCGGCACTAAACCGCTGTTCAACAGCAAGAGAACAGCAATAACAGTGTGGACAGCGGTGGATGCGGCATTGTGAGCCTCTTCAGGGTGGAGGGGTATCGGTCGACACCAGTCAACATCATCCGTCGTCATCCAACGCACCTGCTAGCCTAAAGAGTTATCTGCTACTCCCAGCGTCTTGACGGGACCTGAGATAGATCTTCGTCCTGGATTTTTCCCACAAAATCTGGACATAGGCATCACGGCGTCATCTCCAGCCTTAGCAGTCACGTGTTCACCTCATCACCCTCTCTACAGCCCTTCAACACTCTCCAGCACCATTCTCCTGCCTCCTACAGCGTCCCTACGCCCTTCTCAGCTACAAGAAGTAGAGGTGAGGTCGTTAGTGTGTTGGCTTCGTGTGGCTCCACGAGTGACCACGAGGCAGCTCTCGGGTTGGTTTATACCCTAATCAGCGTGTAAACACACCAGCCCTCTATACAGCCTTATCTGCTAGGCAAAGACGTCCTTCTCGCCGTCCATGTGTGTTGTGTTCTTCCCAGTTTCCTCCAAGAAGTTCTACCTGGCTTAACCACGTGGGAACCCAGTTGGCTTAGCCCCTAAGCCAGCAAAGTTCAGCGTCTACAGCAGCTCGTGACTCATCATAGTGTCTACTACTACTCAGCGCCTACGTATCTCCAGCCAGTGCAGTTTTTTTTTTGTGTTGCCCAGTTTAAATGTTTTTTTTTTCCCTTTCCCTTGCTGTTTTATCACCAGTTCTGTTTTCCCCAGTGATTTGTTACAGTAAAACTTACTCGTCCCAGTTCAAAGTTTCACTTAAGCTTGTTTTTAGCACGTTCGAGTAGTGCAGTAAATGTTTTGTTCTCCGTGTGCTGAAGCCGCAGTCAGTCAGCGCGCCCAGACACGCTTGCCAGTGTAAACAACCATACACCAGCTGTGGTTCACGCCGGGTACCCACGTCTAATATCTTATACCTCCACAGAGTTACTCCGGTCCTTCCTGTTCTTCCCAAGTCCTTTCTGATATTTTTTTTCTACGACATTGAAGCCCCATAGCAGTATACAAATGCTACGAGGCGTGTAGTGTCACTAGAACATCACTGAAAGTTCCAGCACCTGCCGTACCTTCGTCCACCTGCACTCAAAGTTAAGTAAACAGTGACTTACCTAGCATTTCCTAATATTTTGTGACATTATTTAACTGTCCTGCACCAATACAGTTAGTTACTGAAGCCATACTTCAGTAAATTGTTCAGTGTCATCAGTGCACATTTTGCCATTTACCTACAGCTTAAATTTTGTGAATTTATTTTTGCACTCCTACATTTTAAATTCCAGTTTTTCTCTATTCTGCTTCTTGCACCTCAGTTATTGATTTAAATTGTTCAGTGTTAACCATTTATACAATTTACCTCTCACATACAGTTTTCATGTAATTCCTGTGTACTGTTATTTTTTTTTTCCTAGTTGCACCTGCAAGTTAGCCACAGATTGTTGACACCCTTGCACTGTTTTGTTTGTTAGTTTTCTTTTTCTTTTAATAAGTGTAATCTTCAAGTACTTAAGTATTAGTATATTCTACCTGCAGTCATACAATCTGTGCCTAGCCCATTAAATTTTTTTTTCTGTTCCCCCATTTATTTTGCTCTACATATATTCTATGTTTTATCAGTGAATATTCACCTATGTGCATTGCTTTTTGCTATTTTATATACCCAAGTCATTGAGTGTATTTTTGGGAACCTGCTTATTTACCATTAATTACCAAAATTCCTTGTGAAGTTAATTAATTTTGACCTTGAGATTGTGCAAATTTTTTTTCCTTTTTGCCAGTGTACACCCTGCTAACACCAGTTAACCTTTGCCATATTCTTGAATTTAATAATTTGCATTTTTATTAATTTTATTTTGTGTGCAATATAGCAATTCTGGTCAGTGTATTTTTTTTTTGTGTGATTTTTGGCACTATTCCATACTCTGATATCTTTTTTGTGCCAACTTCCCTTGTGCAAGTGAATTACCTTTTTTTTTTGCGTTTCAATTTGCTACTGCTAGCACCCGCAATCTTTTTAAACTGTGCTTGCAGCACAGTTTAGTGTTGTGTAGTACCTGATTTATTTTAATTTTGTGCAATTTTTGCTACCAGTGTTTACAGTTCAAACTCCTTTTCATAAATTTTGTTGCCAGATTCCTGGTGAAATTATTGACTATCCTTAGCTTCATTTTGTGCACTTCCCTGTAGTACATTCACTTGCATACATCTCTTATTTTGTTTTCAGAGTGTATCACTATTTCCCTTTTTATTGTTGTTTTGCTCAAATTATTTCTATCACTAAGCAGTTTACCTAGTACTGTGGTGCTGAGTTCTCTTTGACTCTGTTTTGAATTGTAGCCAGTGCATACCATTCTTGCTCTGACCTGTTTACCATCTTCGTGACCTACTTGCATTTCAACAATTGACGTCATGACTAAGACACGCAGTGGCCATGCCGTTACCCCAGATTCTGCTGGTGCCAGCAATGGTGCCTCAGCCAGCGTGAGCACGCGGCAGGGCATCGAAGCCCCAGCGACAGTTGGTCAACTTGTGGCTCAAGCCTCGACCACCAGTGGGCCGGCTCATCGTCCATACCTGACCCTTATTTTGACGGTCGTGCAAATAGTTTTAGAGCCATGGCTGCAGTCAGTCGAGGCGACTGTTCAGGCTCTATTTGATAGCCCAACAGATACACAGTACATTCGTGCTGCTGTGCAGCAGTGGATCTCACCCAGGGTGATATAGGTGCCTTTGTGCAGCTCAAGCGCGTTTGTAAGATTCAGTCTTGGGGTGAACTAAGGAGGAATTTAGGCGTTATTTTCGGCGTAGTCGCCAACGCCATTACATTGACATCGTTACCAGCGTCTTGGCCGAATGTCAATACCGGCACGAAAGCCCCCTGGCTTGCGTTTGCCGTTTCGAGCAAGCCGCCACGGACTTTACTGATGCCGTCAACTCCACTAAGTGGGCGGATGGTGATGGCCGTATGGCTATTAAAGACATCATCCCCATGCTGGCTGTCGCATCATGCGGAGGATTCCGCCCCTAACCTCTGGGCTGCCATTGATGCGCTAGGACTCGGCCCTCAGCACGACGTCCTGGGTGCATATGACGCCATCGACTCGCTCAAGCCGCCTTCCGAGCAAGGCAAGGTTTGCCGCTTTGCGGATGATCCCCTACCCATCCTTGCAGCGCCGTCCGCAGTGACCCCGCGGTCGCAGCCGGAAGTCACTTTTGCTGCTGCTGTCAGACAGCCACCCACAAAGGTTCTAACCCCAGTCCACTAATACGCGCCTAAGTAAAAATAGCGACCACAGTAACAACAGTCGGTCTTATACAAAAAGGCAGTCATCGACTTCCTGGACCAGGGCGAAACGTCGCCAGCAGACACCACCCCCAACCTCACCCGCTAAGCGTGTAGTGACTTGTTTCAACTGTGGCAAACGAGGGCACTACCGATCTGAGTGTTACAAACTTAAGTCCCTCTCTGGGGTAGCTAGTGTAATTCCTTTATACCTATGGGCCCACCAGTATTGTCGCGTCGGGACGACGCGAGGTGCGTGGCCGAGCAAATGTAGACAGCCTGTACTGGCAGAGCACACAGCCTAGCCGTCTGCTCTGACTAGTTCATATTTCGCGGCATTCAGTGCTGCCCTCTGAGTTACATGTCACACCTTAGGAAATGCTACTGTCAGTCATTGTTTGCAGATGTGAGCGTGCAACAACGTTAGTAGACGAGTGGTCAACTGATGTTCAGCCCTGCGGACAACCTGTATATAGAAGATTTTAGTTCCAGTGCTGACGTCTCCCGGCTCTCTACTCGATGAAACAGCGCGGGCAAACCAGTTTTCTCTTCCCCTGGATGGGAGAGTTTTTTTTTGCCTGTTGCATTTTTTTTTTGTCCATTTTTTATTTACTAGTGAGCGAAAGCCAGTCCCTCTCTGGGGTAGCTATTGTAATTCCTTTATACCTATGGGCCCACCAGTATTGTCGCGTCGGGACGACGCGAGGTGCGTGGCCGAGCAAATGTAGACAGCCTGTACTGGCAGAGCACACAGCCTAGCCGTCTGCTCTGACTAGTTCATATTTCGCGGCATTCAGTGCTGCCCTCTGTAGGCCTACCTAGGTCGGTGGGACACACAGTCCACCCTCTCTCACTCCCGCCTCGACCGACTTGACGTACACAGGTACTCCCCCTCCACGGACTGGCTTGCGGTCACTTCCTCACACTGCCCGTTGTGTACTCACTCCTACCCGATTAAAGCCAATCTAGTCCACGGCCGTATCATTGCTACCTACGCTACCTTCATCGGCACTAAACCGTGTTCAACAGCAAGAACAGCAATAACACATAAACGCACCTTTTAGTGAAGGTACAGTCAATGGTATGAATGTGTCAACCATTCTTAGAGACACTGGATGTTCCTGTATTGTTATCTCGAGTAAGCTTTTCCCTAACCTAGATTCTTCACGTTATAAGTCCACTAAGTTAAACTGACTATTTAGGAAGAAGCGATTCTTTTCCAACAGTCAGATGTTTTGTTAGGTGCAAATGGTTCTCAGGATGGGTAGATGCCGTAGTTGCCCGATAACCTCGTGTTCTGTTTTGGTTGGGAACATAAAAGGGGCTGCTTTCCCTTCTGAGAAGGACTGTTTGGAATTTGGAGTTTCCAAGGAAGGGTTGGAACCTAATATCTCTGTTTCTTCACAGATAGTTCCAGATGAGATTCAGTTGGATAACCTAAATCAGAGAGCTGATGGTTACAAAACTCCGGTAACACCTTTAGTAAGTCAGTCACTTGAACTGGACAACGCAGACGCCAGTGGAAAACTACGTGTGGCACAATCTATACAACAACTAGACTCAATTAACGTCGTTACCAGAGCTCAGTCTAAGGTAAAACCTATCCACCCATTAGTTCTTTCGAAAGGAAAGCCAATCGAGCTGTCTCATATAGATTTAGAGGGTCTTCAAAAGACTTGTCCTTCCTTAGAGGAATCTCGGAAGTTAGCTTTAAATGGCAAGGTGACCCAGAGAAAGAAATTTTCTTACAAGTTTGAGTTCAAACACGATCTTTTGTACAAGACTATAGTGTCTGCGGACAAGCCCAATGACGTTGGTCGAAGCCTGTTAGTCATTCCGCAGGATTGCCGTGAAACTATTTTAAAGATTTCTCATGACTTGCCAGTCTCTGGCCATTTTTCACATAGGAAGACCTATAATAAAATCAAGGACTTATATTTCTGGCCTAGCATGTCCTCTGACATCTATAAGTACTGCAGATCATGTCACGTATGTCAACTTTCCACGCAGAAGGGTAGAACTAGGAGAGTTCCTATGGTAAAGACACCAATTTTCTCAGTACCTTTTGCAAGGGTTGCAGTAGATATAGTTGACCCTATCACTCCTCGTTCATCAGGTCATAAATATATTTTAACTTCGACTATGCGTCCAGCTGCCCAAAGAAGAAATATATTCCACTGTGGATAAAGAATGTTATGCATTAACAGACACTTGAAAGGGGCTCTGGCTATTCAGCCCTATAAGTTTAAAGTCGTTTATATTTCTGGCTCTGAAAACCACTTTTCAGATTGGCTGAGCCGAGGTTGTATTTAGTTCTTTTCCCTCTGTTCGTTGACTTATTGACTCCGTCCATAAGTTTTGGAAGGGGGTATTGTGAGGGAAAAGTAGGTGTAAGTGGGGTTAAGGTTGTTCGGGCAACCAGGAACCATTAGCGAGTTACGTTGCGCGCGCGCACACACCCCTCCCCCCCCCTCTGGCGGGCTGGGGCAAAACTAGTTCCTGGTGTCCGATTTGTTAAAGTTTCTACTCCTGGTAATATTGACCTTACCTGGTGTGGATTGAAGTTTGGAGAGCCACTTCACCTCCACTCTTCTCCTAATCAGGTAGGGTGATCTACCAGGAGTATTACTGTTTGTTCTTTTCTAGTGTTTGCTGGTTACCAGTAATGATTTTGGCATTTATCATTCTTTTTCTTTCTTAAATGTTATATTATCATGACTATGGGTAACCAGTTTTATTTTCTCTTATTTACCAGCTCTGTTCCTGGCGTGGTCTTCCAGGATAGACGCCAGATAAAGGGGCAAGACGTATGTTAATAATACTTATTAACATTATTCTACTTCTACCGGCCCTTACCTATTCTACTTGTGCTCCATCCAAGTGGTAGGAGATTCCAGAACATCGGATTACCATCTGCCCAGGATAACCTACATAAATAACATCAGAGGAACTATCCAGGGCCATACCTACTCCTGCCCAACTAAAAGAACTGAAGGCCATTTTTTTTTATTTATTTAAATTTTAAGAAAAAATTCTCAAAAATCATTTTTCTCTTTTTTTCCCTAATTTATTTCTTATTTATTTTTTTTCCATTAATTTCTTTTGTTCAGTTGGAAGGCCCGAACATGATGTACCAACATGATGCTACCAACATGATGCTACCAGCATGATGCTGCAAATGATGCTCCCAACCATGATGTACCAACATGATGTTGCCAACATGATGCTCCCAAATGATGCTGCCAACATGATTTTGCCAACATGAGGCTACAACATGATCTGCCAACATGATTGCTCCCAAACATGATGCTACCAACAAGATGCTACCAAGATGATGCTACCAACATGATGCTGCCAAGATGATGTACCAAACATGATGCTACCAACATGATGCTGCCAACTGATGTCCCAACATGATGCTACCAACATGATGCTGCCAACATGATGCTCCCAACATGATGCTACCAACATGATGCTGCTACATGATGCTACCAACAAGATGCTGCCAAATGATGCTGCCAACTTGATGCAACCAACATGATGCTTCCACATGATGCTGCCAACATGATGCTCCCAAACCGATGCTACCAACATTGATGCTACCAACGTGATGTACAACATGATGTCCCAAAACAGGTGTCCCAAGATGATGCTACCAACATGATGTACCCCCATGATGCTACCAACATGATGCTCCCCAACATGTTGCTACCAACATGATGCTGCCAACATGATGTACCAACATGATGCTCCCAAACATGATGCTGCCAACTGATGCACCAACGTGATGCTACCAAATGAATGCTACCAACATGATGCTACCAACATGATGCTACCAACATGATGCTACCAACAGGGATGTTACCAAACAAAATGCTACCAACATGATGCTGCCAACATGATGCTACAAACATGATGCTGCCAACATGATGTTACCAACATGATGCTACCAACATGATGCTGCCAACATGATACTACCAACATGATGCTACCAACATTATGCTACCAACATTATGCTGCCAACATGATGCCAAAAACATGATGCTCCCAAACATGATGCTGCCAACATGATGCCACCAACATGATGCTGCCAACATGATGCTACAAACATGATGCCACCAACATGATGCCACCAACATGATGCTGCCAACATGATGCTACCAATATGATGCTACCAACATGATGCTGCCAACATGATGCTACCAACATGATGCTGCCAACATGATACTACCAACATGATGCTGCCAACTTGATGCCACCAACATGATGCTGCCAAAATGCTGCTGCCAACATGATACTGCCAACATGATGCTGCCAACATAATGCTGCCAACACGATGCTACCAACATGATGCTGCCAACATGATGCTGCGAACATGATGCCACCAACATGATGCTACCAACATGATGCTACCAACATGATGCTACCAACATGATGCTACCAACATGATGCCACCAACATGATGCTACCAACAAGATGCTGCCAACATGATGCTACCAACATGATGCTACCAACATGATGCTGCAAACATGATGCCACGAACATGATGCTACCAACATGATGTACCAACATGATGTACCAACCATGATGCTGCCAGCATGATGCTGCACATGATGTGCCAACATGATGTTTCCCAATATGATGATACCAACATGATGTACCAACGTGATGCTGCCAACACGATGCTGCCAAATGATGCTGCCAACATAAAGTACCAACATGATGCTACCAACATGATGCAAACAAACATGATGCTCCCAAAACATGATGTCCAAATGATGCTGCCACATGTCTACCAACATGATGCTGCCAACATGATGCTACCAACATGATGCTACCAAATGTTGCTACCAACATGATGTACCAAACCCATGATGCTACCAACATGACCCTACCAAATTGATGCTACCAACATGATGCTGCCAACTGATGCTAAAACATGATGCTGCCAACATGATGTTACCAACATGATGCTACCAACATGATGCTGCCAACATGATGCTACCAACATGATGCTACCAACATGATGCTACCAACATTATGCTGCCAACATGATGCCACAAACATGATGCTACCAACATGATGCTGCCAACATGATGCCACCAACATGATGCTGCCAACATGATGCTACCAACATGATGCCACCAACATGATGCCACCAACATGATGTGCCAACATGATGCTACCAATATGATGCTACCAACATGATGCTGCCAACATGATGCTACCAACATGATGCTGCCAACATGATACTACCAACATGATGCTGCCAACTTGATGCCACCAACATGATGCTGCCAAAATGATGCTGCCAACATGATACTGCCAACATTATGCTGCCAACATGATGCTGCCAACACGATGCTACCAACTGATGCTGCAACATGTGCTCCCAAAACATGATGTCACCAACATGATGCTACCAACATGTTGTACCAACATGATGCTACCAACATGATGCTCCCCAACATGTGCTACCAACATGATGTCCCAAACATGATGCTGCCAACATGATGCTGCCAACATGATGGTGCCAACATGATGCTCCCAAACATGATGTTTCCCAACATGATGCTACCAACATGATGCTGCCAACATGATGCTACCAACATTATGCTACCAACATGATGCTGCCAACATGGATGCTACAAACATGTGCTGCCAGCATGATGCTGCAACATGATGCTGCCAAGATGAGGGCCCCCAAACCCTGATGCCACCAACATGACGTTTCCCAAAACATGATGCTACCAACCATGTGCTGCCAAATGATGCTCCCAACTTGATGCTGCCAACATGATGCTCCCAACATGATGCTGCCCAACTTGATGCTCCCAACATGATGCTACCAACATGATGTCCCAAACCCTGATGCTACAACATGATGCTTCCAACATGATGTACCACATGATGCTACCAACATGATGCCACAACATGATGCTCCCAACATGATGCTCCCCAACAGGGATGCTGTAACATGATGTCCCTAACATGATGCTACCAAATGATGCTACCAACTTGATGCCCAACCATGATGCTACAACATGATGTCCCAAAACATGATGCTGCCACTTGATGCTACAACATGATGCTACCAACCATGATGCCACCAACTAAATGCTACAAACATGATGCTACCAACATGATGCTACAACAGATGCTCCCAACATGTTTGCCAGGGAACATGATGTACCAACATGATGCTCCCAACATGATGCTACAAACATGATGCTGCCAGCTGATGCTGCCAACATGATGCTCCCAAAACATGATGCTACCAAACATGATGCTACCAAATGATGCTACCAACATGATGCGTCCAACTAAATGCTGCCAACATGATGCTGCCAACATGATCCCCCCCAAAACATGATGCTACAACATGATGCTACCAACATGATGCTACCAACATGATGCTACCCAACATGACCCCCACCAACATGATGCTACAACTGGTGCTGCCAACATGACGTCCCCAACATCATGCTACCAACATGATGCTGCCAACATGATGCCACCAACATGATGCTACCAACATGATGCTACCAACATGATGCTACCAACATGTTGCTCCCAACCCTGATGCTACCAATATGATGCTACAACATGATGCTCCCAAACATGATGCTACCAACATGATGCTTCCAACATGATGCCACCAACATGTTCTACCAACATGATGCTACCAACATGATGCTACCAACATGATGCCACCAACATGATGCTACCAACATGGTGCTGCCAACATGACGCTACCAACATCATGCTACCAACATGATGCTGCCAACATGATGCCACCAACAGATGCTACAAATGATGCTACCAACTGATGCTACCAACATGTTGGTCCCAAAACCTGATGCTACCAACATGTTTGCTACCAACATGATGCTACCAACATGATGCTACCAACATGATGCTTCCAACATGATGCCACCAACATGATGCTTGCAACATGATGTTACCAACATGATGCTACCAACATGATGCTGCCAACTGTGCAAACCAACATGATGCTACCAACATGATGCCACCAACATGATGTACCAACATGGTGCTACCAAACATGATGTTTGCCAACATGATGTTCCCAAAACATGATGTTTCCCAAAACATGATGTACCCAACATGATGTCCCAACATGATGCTACCAACATGATCCCACAACATGATGCTACCCACATGATGCTACCAACATGATGCTACCAACATGATGCTACCAACATGGTGCTACCAACATGATGCTACCAACATTATGCCACCAACATGATGCTACCAACATGATGCTACCAACATGATGCTACCAACATGATGCTACCAACATGATGCTACCAACATGATGCTGCCAACATGATGCTGTCAACATGATGCTACCAACATGATACTGCCAACATGATGCTACCAACATGATGCTCAGTGTTGGTAAACTTGGAACTCAAAATAGAAACAAAATACGAAGCGTAGATCATCTTATGAAATATAATAAGGAATGTAGACATCATATCTGAAGACAAAAGCATCGTGTAAACACCCAGGAATATTATAAACAGAACAAACGATACAGCAAACAAAACTATTGTTTGACAATATTTCCTGGGTTTTTATTCTCATCTTCAATTTTTTTTTTCTTTTTGTAGAGCTGAAGATGTGAATTGAAAGGTTTGAAAAGTTGTCAAAAAATTTTTTTGCCTTATCGTTGGTTAAGATAAGATGTCGTTCGGATTTTTAACCCGGAGAGTTGGGCCCCCCCACGATAACTCAAGACAGGCAGTGCGTCATAAAGGGGATGTCTGTCTTTTTTCCATTTTCTTAAATTTTTGGTGCCCCCCTCTCAATATTTGTCTATCCCAGGTGAAATGCACCCCAACAACCAGTCGGACTAACACCACAGGTCCACCTTTGTTGCTAGGTAAAAAATAGGGGAAGGAAACCCGGGGAAAATTTACCCCGGGGAATTTGAACCCGGGGCCCCTCGGGGAAGGAGAGTTTCCCAACCAGGCCCTTTCACA